GGGGTGAATACTACTCTTTATTTTTCTAGTAGCATCGATGAGTTTACTAGCAAATTTGACCATATCCTTATAAACACTCGATAATTGATCGAAGCATACAGCTATTTAAGCGTATCTTTCAATAAATATCTGGTTCTCAGCACAACTATTGATAAAAAGCGCACAATGTCACATATTGCTACTGATACATGCAAGTGTATATGTACTAGTGCACTGCTGCGAATGTAATTACTTGAGAGGATAGGCCAGTACCTATGCCTAAATATCTATTTATATGGATATAAATACACAGGAACGTTAACAATAAAATCGAAAAACAGAAAAGTTATTCTTCGAGGAATATTTTGAGTTACAATTCCTTAATTCGCTTGCATTTTGAGCGATCGTACGCTTATAAGAGATACTCGTGTTGACTCGGCCAGGAAACAACTATGATTCTGCCTTACATTATTTATCAAAGTGTTATTGGTTACTTTTGGATTACTTATTCCTCCAATTCGCTTTAGATGTCTACCTTTAGACCTTCATACTACTTAACAGACATTAGTATTATTAAAATAAGTACTTCAAACCAAATAGTCAAGAAAACTCCACTTCTGGTCAGATTCTCCCTCAAATATACTTTACCTCTAGATTGAAGAGCTCATTTGCATAGATATATGTACATTAATATAAATATAAATATAAATATAAATATAAATATAAATATAAATATATATATATATATATATATAAACAAAAATCAATGTTTTGCTTTAAATAAAGCTGTTTAATTAATGTTGGACTGTTCTCTTACATAACCGTGTTTGTCGAGTACATTGTTGGTAAGTTTGAGTTTTTCGAAGGAGACCGTCTGTTTGGCGAGCTGGTCACCTGAGAATGGACTATCTGGATGCACATAGTAGCGCGGATGCAGCTCTGGATCAGCCTTGCCCGCGACCAGCCAGCTTGATCTGTGATAGGCGTATCGGTATCGCTTGGCGTCTACCGGTACAATGTCCATGACGATCAAGTATTTTGTGTCTGGCTGAAGTCCGAGCAGAGAGACTCTAACCACCGGAAACATGCGTCTGTTGGCATCATCAAGAAGGCATAATGAATAGAGGAAAATAACGTAAAAGTGTCAATAAATGTGAAGGCATTTACAGCTCAAAGGATCTTATGGGAGCAAAAAAATACGGCAAAAAAATAAAATTAATCCTAAATTGGTAAAAACGAGAAAACTCGTGTTAGAAGAGGGAGCAAGAGTTTTCAGAAAAACGCCTAGTTACAGCCAAAGTTTCGCTTATGGTTAATAGGACTGTGCGGATTGTGGGTACCTTCTCTGCTGACCTGTCGACTCAACATTTGATCACAGCCATGGAGACAACCTTAACCTCTTTGCCTCTCCTCCTCTTCCCTCATCAAGTTCAATTTCAGCCAATCACAATTAACCAAATAGCATTCGATTTGTTGCCTTATTCTACTCAAAATGGCGTAAAATCAACTGGCAGAAAAGAAGCACACTCAAAAATTCAGCCTAAAGAATTCCATATACAGTATAATGAGATGTATTCACCCTATTTCGTCTAAGGTGA